ATCACGGACTACCTCTACTCCCTGTCAGAGGCCTTCAACCAGTTCTACACAGAGTGCAAGGTGGTGGGCAGCGAGCAGCAGGACAGCCGCATGCTGCTGTGCGAGGCCACCGCACGCATCATGCGCCAGTGCTTCGAGCTCCTGGGCATCACCCCTCTCTACAAGATCTGATCTGATCTGATCTGGTGTGAGGAGCGTTGTTTTCGAATCATCACTTCTGCCCGTGGTGGCATGACGTATTGTAATGCATGCGCTGAGGTCCTGGCGGCTGAGCAGTGTGGCGGCCTTGGTCGTGGCAGTCGTGTCGAGGTGAGGCTGGCTGGTGGGCCCCTGGCTCGGCTCGAGCCAGGGGCCCGGCTCAGAGCGAGTCAGTCATGAGGGACAAGATGAGCTGAAACTTTACGTGGGCCTGCAAGCAATGTTGGTCCCTGTGACGAAGGCCATCACCAGCAATTGGGGAGAGGTGCGCCAACACACGTGCTTGCAGGCCCCCATCCTGTGACCTGCCAGCAGGCGAGGCCGTGTGCATGCAGCCAGTTTGGGGGTTTGGATTTAGCGGCCTCTTCTTATCAGTGTTGTATGCCATGTGCCTCAACTTTGGGTCAGGCTTTTACACGGTCTAGTACCACCATGCAACTGCGCTTGGAGGGGACCAATTCATCCCGACGGCGCTCTGGGGGCCGGGGAATTGGGCACACCTTGCGTTTAACATCAGGCGAGTCGCCACTGCACGCAGTAGCAGCCAAAGATGTCTTATTCGTTGCACTGTGCAGTCGCTTCGGTGTGGCAGCGGTGCGCGTGCTTGCATGTACACTGCCAGCAGGCGGACCTGCTCTTGCACCTTCGCCGCACCTGCCGCGCAGGCGTTCACAGCATTGACAACGAAATGCTGAATACTCAACGCCTCACGATGTTGGTGCTGGTATCGAGCAGAGACTCTCCTTGAAAAATTTCAGCGCGCCACACGAATCCTGACGAAGAGACAACGGATTCGCCAGATCTCAACTGTGACAGTGGCTTACTCCTACTAGAACGCCAGCCAGACGGTCAAGTGCGCCGCGCAATATGTTTGTTTTGATTATCTGCGCTCATAAGCACGCCCAGTACACGCCCTTGGACCAAGCCCACGGTGGAACTCGCTGAAATCGCCCTCGAACGCAGTATGTCGCCCTCTGCTTGACGCCCAGAGATGCGAGCCACATCAACTGCCGCTTGGTGAGCGCTGGGACCAATGCGGTAGGCCAAGAGGCAGCATCGGACCAAGGCACATCCTCGAGGCGACGCGGCGACGCTTTGCTCGTTGTTGGCAAAGCTGACGGTGATGGTGGCATCCCCAACCGCGCTTTTTGCCGCAGTGTGCCGGCCGTAGTGAGGCAGAGACGACGACAACTATTAAGAGCAAGAGTAGCACGAAGAGGGGCCTGAGGTGACGCGCAGTAGTCTTTCAAGCTCAGGCAGGCGACTACAGTGCAGCAGCAGCAGAAGCAGCAGCGGCAGCAGCAGCAGCGCGGTGCGCACTTTCTGTTCTGCATAGCAGCTAGCTAGCTGGCCATCTGTCCTCCAGGAAGGAAGATCTCCAGGCTCTGCACGCCAACGGCGCAGCATGAAGCACCACCACCACCACAGCAGCTCGCGGCGCGGCGCAGGCAGTGCTGCGACTGCCGTCCATGCGCCCGGCTGGGTGGAGGGCATTGCGGCGCTCAGCGACTCCTCGCCCGCCACGGCCCTCATGGTGGGGACACAATATGAGGGCGGGCAAGCGCCGCCAGCAATCCCAAGGGGCACCTACCCGAGGGCGAGGCCCGCCTGCCAGTGCTTGGGCGGCTCCCGCCTAGCAAGCTCACCCTAGCCCTCCCCACGCCTCGCCACGCCCGGGCGCATTCCCACACGCGCACTCCTGCACGCACGCCCCTGCACGCCTTCAGGTCGATTCCCCCAGGAACCCCGGCGCCGCCGCGCCGCTGCCCAGCGGCGTCGCGCCCGACTCGGCCGCGCTGCTGGACCACGCGGCTGAGCTGCTGGCGGCCGAGGTGGAGGCCATGGGAGAGCTCACGCTGCAGCTGGGCATGCCGGGAGCAGGCTGGGGACCCGCACCCCTGGGGCCCGCCGCGCTCGCGGCCGCGCTCGAGCGCCTGACGGCCGCTGCGGACGCTGCCGGCGCGGACCTGACCGTGCTGCGCCAGCGCCCGCTGCCCCCGGACGTCCTGGCCGGCACCAGCGCCGGCGCCGCGGGCGCGCTGTCGCCGCGCGGCGGCAGCGGGGGCGGCGAGGCGGGCGCGCCCGTGTCCGGCGGTGCGCCGGCTGGCAGCGCAGACGCGGCTGCTCAGCAGGAGGGGTGCGGTGGCTACGTGCTGGCCGACGTGTTGGTGCGCCAGCGGTCTAAGCCGCGGCCTCCCCTGGAGGTGCGCGTGGCTGTTGTCGGCAACGTGGACAGCGGCAAGAGCACACTGGTGGGGGTGCTCACGCGCAGCACCCTGGACGACGGCCGCGGCCTGGCTCGCAGCAAGGTGAGGGTGCGATCAGGGGGTGGGGGTGTGGGCCATGGCCACCAGGATGATGCTGGCGGGCGAAGGCCGCGGGCGGGGGGATGTGGTTGCTGTTGAGGGCTGTGCTGCCCCCCAGAGGGGTGGTTCACCGGCTGAGCTCCTGTCCCGGGCACTGCGCAGCCCCAAGGCGGCTCCCTTGCGCTGCCTCACAACCCTGCACTCCCCTGCCTCCCCCTTCCTCGCGTTGCTAAGGTGTTCAAGCATCATCATGAGGAGACCACGGGCCGCACCAGCAGCATAGGCCAGGTGGGGTGATCAGCGGCAGGGGGGAGGGCAGCGCATCTGGGTAGGCTGTGCCCTGCGCTGTGATCCCGCCTCCACGCTGCCTCAACAGTGCACGCCTCGCCCTCCCGCCTGCACACCAGCGTGCGCACTATTTACACCTCTCGTCACCGCTGCCCTCACGCTACTCCTGCCACCCCTGGTGATGCCCCCGCTTCCTTGTCGTCCCCCCCCCCCCCAGCACAACCTGTGCCTGGACTCCCAGGGCGGTGTCCTGAACGACCAGATGTTCCGCAACAGCAGCTGCTCTGACTACGTGGCGCGCAGCTCAAAGGTCATCACGCTCGTGGACCTGGCGGGTGAGGCAGGGGG